GACCCTGCAGAGCACTGAGGGCGTCCTGTCCAGCATCAGGACCACCTGACAGGAGTTTGTGGAGGACCTGGACTTCTGGAGGGTCCTGCTGCTGCTGCTGATGGTGGTCATCGCCCTCCTCTCCCTGGGCATCGCCTACTACGTCAGCAGAGTCCTGCCTTTCTCAGGGTGGAGAGGAGGCAGGAAAATAAATGAAGATCTTTATGTAGAACAAAAACTCTGGTGTTTATTTGTTGTGCAAATCTGATCATTTTATTGGAATCTGAACGACATCATGTGATGCTGTCAGCACGAAGAAGAGAGGACGGTGACTCAGAGACACCGACAGCTTCATGTGTGGCCTAACACCTTTACAAGCACTCATTGATAAAGTCACCTTTACATCCCTGTTTGCTCTGTTACAAGCTGTATATTGCTGATGTTTTGTAACTTTTCATTGTTTTCTCCTCACTTGTTATTTATTCAAATGTCTTTGGTGTGAATTTTTCCCTCGCTGTCTTTATTTCACACAAATACCTGCAGCCTTTCTGTCTGGAAACAGTTTTGTCAGGATATCTTGATGTTCTTTGTTCAAAGGGTTTCAGTGTTTATTCCATCAAACATTTGAAGTCATTTAATGTGCAAAATGAATAAAATCATGACTGTAATCATCATCAGGTCACTTTATTATCCACTTAAAACTTTATTGGCACACAGCAGCTTCCCTGAGCTTTTTACAAATAGCAAAGTAAACACAGTAAAGACTAAATCTGTACAAACAGGCAGGACAATATACAAATTCCCTGTATGTGTCTGCACATATACTTGGCCAATAAACACGATTCTGATTCTGTTACTGAAGAGATCTCGTTCATCCATCTTGAAGCTAAATTATGCATTGATTATGTAAGCAGATGATTTACAGGCATTACTTCATTGATTGGAAGACAAACACAAAATAATAGAGACAATCTCAAACATTGTAACAGCAGTCAGCCTGAGCAGAAGGAAAACGGAGGATTTCTAAACCTGAGACAGTGGAGTTGCACAGTGGTGCCGTCATAAAGGTGGCGAGTTCAAATACTTAATAAAGGGATGAGCTGTTGTTGTTTTTTCACTCATCAGTTGTGGGTAAAGTCAGGGTTTCCATTTGACTTTAGCATCCTGTGCTGGTCACAGTCTGATTCTCTGTCCTCTTCAGTGCCTCCTCCTCCTCGAGTGCGCACATTAAATTTCCTGTCCCTCAGAAACCAGCAGAGCCAAACCAGCAGGCCAACGATCACAAAGACAGCTGCCGTTATGAAGAATGTTCTCCACGACCAGTCGGAGCACTCTGATGGCTGCAGAGGACAAGAAGACAGAGCAGAAATGTTAGTGAGCAGTTTTAACTGACTTTTAATGCTTTCAGTTAAAGTTAAAATAAATCATTTTATACTGTAAAGCTCAACATAAAGGTGAGATCTTTTTATACAGTCTGTGTGTCAGTCCTCGGTGGACAGACCACAACCCTCTATCTTTGCACATCTGTAAGCACATGTTCCTGCTGACCAGCTGCGTCTGAATTTTGACTGTTCTTTGCTGACAGGACCGCTTGCCTTTGGCCTGTCCTACTAATCTTCATGGCCACGTTACTTAAAGTCTTTCAGTCAGTTTGCAGTGATTAAACTGTGGACGATTAAGGTTTAGAGTGACGTGTGAAACTACTTAAATTCTTACCGTCGGTGTGGTTGTAGGCTGTGAGGTGCTGCTCGGTGGTGGTGGTGATGGTGTGGAGACGTGCAGGTGGACAGCAGAGCGGTGTTTCTCTGTCTTCTCCACGTCACAGTAATACACTCCGTCGTCTCGGAGCTGAGCTCGCTTCACGGTGAGGGACAGGTCTCCTCGCTGGTACCAGTCTGATGGTATGGACACTCGGCTTTCATTATAGCCGTCCCCGTAGGTGATTTGCTTAGACAGAGGATTCAGCTCCAGCACCAGCTTTCCGTCTCTCCTCCAGCGCACAGATTTCACAGCCTGACCGACTGTAACGGAGCGACAGGGCAGGGTGGCACCTTCATCCCGGCGTGCGACAAGTTTATAGGGCAGAAAAACGTGCAACTCTTCCAGCTCCCCCCTCTGTTTGTCGTTGCAGGTAAACGAGTAATAGCCGTGATCGTTGAAATCTGCTCTCTTTAATATCAGAGAGTCGGAGATGTAAACCACCCGGTTAATGTAACCCGGTCCCGGCTTCCAGACACCGTCAAGAAAGGCGACCAGCTGATCGGTGCCATCCATTAGCTGATGTGTGACTTTTCCCGTCTTGCACTTCTCTGTCAGGGCAAACCTAACATCGTCTCCTGCAGCGGCCTGGATCAGTTTCCCAGACACCCGGCCGATAAAAAGAAGAAGAAGAACAATGTAAGTGAGGCGGACTGATGTAGCACTCATCTTGCGCGCGGAGGAAAAATGTGCGCCGTTTACGCGCAAGCTGACTTTTTATAGTCGGTGGTACATCCGAAAACCAGTCTGAGCCGCATGAGAGCACGATGCCCAATTGGCCAATAGATTTGTTTGAAACAGCGACTCCTATGACTCAACTGTTATTATTATTATTATTATTATTATTATTATTATTATTATTATTGTTATTATTATTATC